TAGAAAAGAAATCAAATCAATGAAACCAAGAATGTAAAGAAGGCAAGAGATCCAGGTCTCAACTTATTAATGGGAAGAATGAGGGCAAAAAAAGAGTCATTTATAGATAGTTTCAGAATTTCCAAACTTGCAGCAGAGGGGGAAAAAATGTTAATATGACTAGGTTAAATTGTCCTATTAAGAGATAAATGCAATTTTGTACAAGGTAACCTTGTGATGGAACCCTTGTATATTTTGACTGCAGTGATGTTCACAGGAAATCTACATAAAATTACTTACGACTAAACAGGCACAGGGATGGGTGCATGTAAAACTGGTGAAATCTGAATAAGGTTGTATCAATGTCAATTTCCTGAGTATAATATTGTACTATAGTTATGCAAGGTGTTACCACAGGTAGAAACGGTGAATACACACAGGATCTACATCTCTCTGTATTATTTCTTAGAACTGTATATGAATCTACAATGATCTTATTTAAAAGTTTTAAAAAATGTAAAACAAACCAAAAAAAAAAAAAAGGACAAACTTCCAGGTCGGGCACGGTGGCTCACACCTACAACCCCAGCACTTTGGGAGGCCAAGGTGGGTGAATCACTTGAGCCCAGGAGTTTGAGACCAGCCTGGGCAACACGGTGAAACCCCATCTCTACAAAAAACACAAAAATTAGCCAGGAATGGTGGTGTGCACCTGCAGTCCCAGCTACTTGGGAGGCTGAGGCAGGAGGATCACTTGAGTCCAGGAGATGGAGGTTGCAGTGAGCCAAAATTACACCATTGCACTCCAGTGTGGGTGACAGAGCAAGATTCTATCTCAAAAAAAAAAAAAAAAAAAAAAAAAAGACAAACTTCCAAATTGGAAAGGAGGAAGATTTCAGGGAGAAATAAAAGTCCAGCTCAGTTACATGAATGTTTGATGTTTATGAAAGGCAAGTAAAGCAAAATGGTGTAAAATTACTGAAAATAAACCTATGGGCAAAAAAGCCCTATTAGGTACACACAAAACTGACAGAGAGGCATATAAGACAATGTAGACTCCCAGGCAAAAATCATTAAACAGGGCAAAAAAGACACTTTATATTTTTTAAGATAAAATCCACTAAGAACAATTACACACATTATCTTTAAGGCTGAATTCAACCAAAATCATAATCACAGTAAGTATCTAACATACTTTGCTTACTGATTTGTTGGCTTTGAGAAAACAACAAATTAAGGATATAGTATCTTACAACAAATGTGCCAAGTCAAATAACAGGGAAAGGATAGTTTACCAAAATAAATGTTTTAGGAAAATGTCCAGCAATTTGGAAAAATAAATTTGTGATAGTATGCCATAGCAACCATTTTTAAAAATCTAAATCTATGATAACAGAATGTGTACAAAGAGCATTTTAATAATCTTGGGGTGGAAACCCAGAGGCCATAAAGGAAAACAACAGCAGAACTGGCAACATAAATAATAAAGACCTTTATACAGCAAAAGCCCCAAGAAACACTAAAAAATAGACTACGACAAAATACTAGCATATGGTGAACCAAATCATTAATAGCCACAATATGTAAAGAGCTATTACAAATCAATTAGAAAAGAGGAACATTTCAACAGAAACCTAAGCAAAGGATATGATCATGCAAGTAAAAATGAATACAAATGACCAACAAACATACAGATAGTCAACCCCATCAATAAGCAAAGAAATGCAACACTAAAACAATAAAACAATATTTTTCATCCAAAAAATTACTAAATATAAAAAAATAATCATTTCATCTTAGCAAGTCTCTCAAGTTTCTGCATGTCATATAAGCAGAGGCACTGATGGCCTTTATTTTTCATCTTTTCAGTGGTGTTCACACAGCAAATAGCCTTGGCAGATAAAGAGATGTCTCCCTCTGGTAGAGGGTAGGTTTGTTTACCATGCAGGAAAATAAAGATAATGTCTCCCTCTCTGGCAAAGATCAGACACGTTTATTTGCAGCCCACTATGAAAGATTCAGGTTCCCTAAACTAAGGATTCCTCTCTTGTAACACAACCTACTTCACCTGCTAGTGTCACTGGGCTCTTGTCACATCACCCCGTGGAAATCAGGGCTCCAGCAAATCAGCATAAGATGATCCTCTGGCTACCGTTACTGTTGTGTTTTGTCTGTCAGTCAGGAGTCTCATATTTTCCGCCAGTTTCCATGAAACTGTTAGCTTGCAAGTAGGGTATGATCTCAGGTCCTTGACAATTATTCGCAATGTGATGTGGCAAAAGCAGCATTTTGATAAATTGTCTAAATTTACTCTTACCAACAACTTTTGAGGAGTACTTTGGCAGAGTCTCTCATAATTTAACACTTATGTGTAGCCTCTGACCTAGCAATTCCATATCTTAGGAAATAAACTAACATGCAAATATGACAATATACAGAATAAACACAAAAATGATCCTTGCAGTTCTGTTTGTAATAAATTTGGAAAAATGCCAACAGGGGATTGGCTAAATAACTTTTGGGTTATTCCTACAATGAAATACCAAAAAGACTTACAAAAAAGACAAGATACTATTATATGCACTGATACAGAAGGATTTTCATCCATAAAGTGGAAGCTATAGACAATTATACATGGTACACTGCCATTTATGAAACAAAAGTAGATTTAAATCTATTATTTTTAAAATCTGCAAGCAGTGATAATCTTTATGGAACAAGGTTACTGCGTAGGTGGGCACACAGCACTTTCACTTCCACCTTTGAGGATTTCTGTATTGCTTGATCTTTTTTAAAGAATGCATACATTTATTTCATGAGCTAATAAGTTTAAGTGTCCACAGTAACAACATCTTAAAATTTATTATATTTGAGATATCCAGTTGGGATGGTAAAATACAAACGGATATGAGGATGTCCCAGGGAACACTTCAGCCATTTATCTCTCAGATAACCATTTTTTCTCTTAGAAACCAGGTACAGAACATCCTAAATCACAGGTGATGGGGAGAGGCACACTACAGTTACTATGATATAGTGCAAAGTCAAAAGGCATGCAGATTTTTAATCAGGCAACTTCTCCATGTAACTGTAAGGAGCAACTCTAATCGCAAGCTCTGAGTGAGCAACAGAAGGGATTTATTTACTAACAGTTAATGATTCAACTGACCATGGAAAAAGCAAGCTAAAATAAACGAATCTCAATAATTGGCAGGAAAATTTTAAAGGGGCAAGAGGTAAAGAAAGGGAATCAACTTGCTCCCACTAAATGTGTTCATTTCAAAAATATTTAGTGATGTCTACAATATGCCAGGCATCGTTCCAATCCCTAGACATTAAAACACATTATAAACCTAGAGCAATAAGAGCATCACAGAAGCCAGGATCACCACAGGGAGCCAAAGAACACTGCACGACCTTCAGAAAGTCCCAAGAATACACGAGAATTTAGGGCCTATGGTATTTATAGGACTGATCAGCAGGGAAAAATAGAATTCAACAAATGATGATGCAGTCAGTAACAAAATTATAAAGTTAGAGCCTTCTTATCTCACACTAAATATGAATAAGATCATTAACAATACTAGAAGAAAACGGAGGTGGATATTTATATATAATTCATGTAGATAAAGGCCTTTTTAAAAGGACGCTGAAGTTAGATCCGCAAAGTTAAGATCGAGAATGTCAACCACAGCAAAATTAAGAGGATGAGACTAACACAGTAAAGAAAGAAGGGGTAGTTTTTGTTAACTGACCATATGTGCAAGCACCATATGTACCATTGTGCAGAGTACTATAATTGTATTATTTCATCATTGCGTGAGTAAAGAAATTATCCATCTTACAATGAGCTGATTTATCTGATTTTCAAGTCGGTAACAGAAGGGAAGAGTTTGAAAATGCAGAGTTCAGAAAAGCCAACTTTTGGGACAGAAGTTAAAAACAAAGTACTCAGAACACAAGTATGGAAAGAAGAATCCAATTCAAGAAACTTTTAGAGTGCCTACTAGAGCATAATGCACATTTCCCCCAAGTCCTTAATCTGATAAAGGACTATTGGAGCGTTCATGACTCTGGATGAATCTCTCTCTACTCAACCAACAGATACAATATGCGATATAGGATAACGGAGGCAGGAAGTAAGCCTGAAAGAAAAAAATATATACCTATACCTGAACTTAAGAAACCGAGGAGTGCACGCAAGCAGCAGAAAAGGCAGCTTGTGTCTGCGAACAGAGCCTGTCCACAGAGATCCCTGCACCTGGTGGTAGTGTGCCCTCCGGAGCATAAAGCCAGCCGGGCATCAGGCCGACGCAATTACCTGACTACAAGCTTATACCATCTTCACCTTCTATAATAGTTATTTGTATACTGTATTTCAATCTGTGAATGCATCTCGAAGCTTTGTGGCAATGATCACTGGGAAATCAAGGAAATCCAAAACCACCCGTTATAAATATGTTGACAAGGAGGCCAAGCAGATGGTCATCAACGCACTCTAGAGGCACCCCTAAACCTAAACATCGAAACAAGGTTGTAGCTGGGCACCCTGTAGCAGTCCTGAAGAAAGAAAACATAGGCCTGGTTAGGCAAAAACCATCGGATGTCAGAGGGAAATCAAGGGAGGAGGCACAGGTATCACAAGCACAGGCGGGTGTGTGGCCGACGCGTGGCTGCCGGGGCAGCACAGAGCGCGGGTGTGGGCGACCCGCAGTACCCCCTGGTGTGAACAACCCTGAGCCGCGCACACTTCCGGACGACGTCTCACAGCCTGCAGGCAGACTGTCGCGTAGAAACAGCCCGAAGCACGTCAGCAGTTCTCAGAGGCCCCAGCAAGCCCCGCCAGCGTGAAGCGGGGGCGCGGGGCAGCGGGCGGGGAGGGGCCGGCAGCGGGGGCCCCTGCCAGGCGTCCAGACTCCCCAAAGCGCGGAGCTGCGCGTTGGCTCAGCCCCGGCCCCGCCCCAGTGCCGAAGGAAGAAGACAGAGACCCACGGGAGGGAGAAATAAAGGAAGGGCCGTACCCTGCAGGGTCCGGGAGAGGCGCGCGCAGCGGGCTTCACCAGCGACCAGGCAGTGCGAGAAGGCCGGGGTGCGGGGGCGGCTCCCCGGCTCTCTGGCCGCTGCACAACCACCGCAAACCCGGCCCAGCGCGACCCGGAAGGAAGACGCTGAGGCCGCGAGGAGGGGCGGGGCCGGGGGGTGGGGCGGGGCCGAGGGGCGGGGCGGGGCCAGAAGCAAAACCGGGCGTTTCTCCCGTGGGAGGTGCTTTGGGTCCTATGGACAGCCCGCTCCCAGGCCAGGGGGAGGAGCTTCCTGCTGGCTTTCCCGCTCCACTGGGGCCAGTGTAAAGGGCCTAGGTAATATACAGTGGGCAGTGGCTACAAATCCTCTTCGGAATAATCTCCTCCAAGTACTGACTCGCTATGTGTAGTGCAGTCCTGCTAGGACTTCTTCAGTCCAGACTTGGTAGATCAGGTGATACATAGGTAATACGGCTGGAACGCATACGCAGAGGAAAAGTATAATATACATTATATGCGTCTGAAGGTATAATTCACCTAGTTTACAAACCTCCTCTGCCCTGTATACAAATCCTGCATGCAGGCTCATTTCCATACCAACGTTCAGAAGCCTCTGACCATTACCTCTGATGAAGAAGATGGTCTGGCAGTCTCTCTTACTCCATTTTGATTTATTTTTGGTAGATTCAGTATGGCCTTTTTTTTTTTTTTTTTTTTTTTTTTTTTTTAACGGAGTCTCGCTCTGTTGCCAGGCTGGAGTGCAGTGGCGCGATCTTGGCTCACTGCAACCTCCACCTCCCAGGTTCAAGATTCTCCTGCCTCAGCCTCCCGAGTAGCTAGGACTACAAGGGCGCGCCACCACGCCCAGCTAATATTTTGTATTTTTAGTAGAGACGAGGTTTCACCATATTGGCTAGGATGGTCTTGATCTCCTGACCTTGTGATCCGCCCGCCTCAGCCTCCTAAAGTGCTAGGATTACAGGCGTGAGTCACCACGCCCGGCTTTGGCACCTTTTTTTAGTTTGCATCATATTTATCTTGTTACAAAATATCCACTAAGATGGAAAATATTTAGTAAAATGTTGAACTACACATTATTTGCTGTCTGAATGCTCCTAATGAGGCAAAACAGTAAGGATATTTACTTATATATGAACAGAATCAATACACGATATGCAGTATATATTGTACATGAAAAAATTAAAATTTTTATTTTCTTCAACTTTTTGATGCACAATAGCTGTACATATTTTCATGGTACACCTGATAATTTGATTCATTTCTGTAATCAAATCAGCATAACTGGGTTACTCATCCCCTTAAATATTTATCTTTTCTTTGTGCTAGGAACATTCAAATTATTCTCTTCTAGCTATTTTGACATGTACTATTGATTAATGTTAACTATAGTCATCCTACTGATCTATGGAACACCAGGTCTTATTTCTTCTAAGTGTATGTTTATCTCCCCTCGTTCCCCCACGGCCCGCCCCTCCGCAATACTTCTCAGTCTCTGAGATCCACTTTCCGAACTCCCACATATGAGTGAAAACATGCATTCTTTGTCTTTCCATGCTTGGCTTACTTCACTCGTCATAATGACCTCCAGTTCTATCCATGTTGCTGCAAATAAAAGAGTTTTGTGGAGGGTTTTATGGCTGAATAATATTTCATTGTGTATATGCACCCCATTTTCTTTATCCATTCATCTGCTGCATGGACACTTAGGTCCTAAATCTTGGCTATTGTAAATAGTGCTGCAATAAACATAGAAGTGCAGATATTTCTTTGATATATGTATGTCCTTTCTGTTGGATCTATACCCAGTAGTGGAATTGCTGGATCATATAGTAGTTCTATTTTTAGTTCTCTGAAGAATCTTCACACAGTTTTTCACAGTGGCTCTAGTAATATGCATTTCCACCAGCAGTGCACACTGGTTCCCCTTTCTCCACATTCTCACCAGCATCTGTTGTTCCCTGTTTTGTTTTGTTTTGTTTTGTTTTTTTGATAAAAGCCATTCTCACTGGGGTGATATAGCTCATTGTTTTGATTTGCATTTATCTGATGATTAGTGATACAGAGCATTTTTTCATATACCTGTTGGCCATTTGTATGTCTTCTTTTGAGAAATGCCTGTTCAGATCTTTTGCCCATTTTTTAAATTGGATTATTTGTTTTTGTTTTTGTTTTTGCTTTCTTATTGAGTTGTTTGAGCTCCTTATATAAAATATTCTGGTTATTAATCCCTTGCTAATTAAATAGTTTGCAAATATTTTCTCCCATTCTGTGGGTTGTCTCTTCACTTGATTTTTTCTTTTGCTATGCAGAAGCTTTTTAGCTTGATGTTATCCCATTTGTCTGTCTTCACTTTTGTGGCCTATGCGTTTGAGATCTTAACCAAAAAGATAAGATCTTGCCCAGACTTATGTCATGGAGCCTTTTCCCTATGTTTTCTTCTAGAAGTTTCATAGTTTTGAGTCTTAAATTTAAGCATTTAATCCATTTTGAGTTGACTTTTCTATATGGTGAGAGATAAGTTTCTAATTTTATTTTCCTGCATGTGGACATTAGTTTTTCCCAACACTACCGAACAGACTGTCCTTTCTCCATTGTGTGTTCTTGGCACCTTTTGTAAAAAAGCAATTGACCATAGATGTGTGGCTTTATATCTGGCCTCTATATTCTGTTCCATTGGTTAATTTTTCCATTTTTATGCCACTACCATGCTGTTTCGATTGTGATAGCTTTGTAAAATATTTTGAAGTGAGGTACTGTGATGACTTCAGTTTTGTTCTTTTTGCTCAACATTGTTTTCTCTATCCAGGATTTTCTGTAGTTCCATACAAATTTTAGGATTTTTTGTTCTATTTCTGAGAAGAACGTCATTGATATATTGTTAGAGATTGCACTGAATACGTAGATTGCTTTGGGTAGGTATGGGCATTTTAACTATTCCTCCAATCCATAAACACAGAATATCTTTCCACTTATTGCATCTTCTCTAATTTCTTTCATCAGGGTTTTATAGTTTGAGTGTACAGAACTTTCACCTCCTTGGTTAAATTTATTCCTAAGTATTTTATTTTATGGGTTGTTTTTGTAGCCATTGTAAGTGGGATTGTTTTCTTGATGTCTTTTTCAAATAGTGTGCTTTTTGTGTATAGAAATGCTACTGATTTTTGTATGTTGATTTTATATCCTGCAAACTTACTAAATTTATTAGTTATAACAGCTTTTTTAGTGGAGTATTTAGGGTTTTCTAGATATAAGGTCTTGTCATCTGCAAACAAGGACCATTTAACTTCTATACAATTTCGATGCCTTATTTTTTTTTCTTACCTAACTGCTCTGGCTAGGACTGCCAGTACTATGTCAAATAGAAGTGAGAAAGTGGGCATCCTTGTCTTGTTCCAGTTCTTAGAAGAAAAGCATTCAACTTTTGTCTATTCAGTATATTAGTTGTTGTGGGCTTGTCATATATGGCCTTTATTGCATTGAAGTACATTCCTTTTATACCTAATTCACTGAGCTTTTTTTCAGAGAAAAATAATGGATTGTGTCAAATGTTTTTCTGTATTGAAATGATCAATGTGGTTTTTGTCCTTCATTCTGTTAAAGTGTTGTATCACATTTATTAATTTGCTTTATGTTGAATCATTCTTGCATGTCTGCTATGAATCCTACTTGACCATGGTTAGTGATCTCTTTTGTTGAAGATTTTTGCATTTATATTCATCAGGGGTACTGGCCTATAAGCTTTCTTTTTTTGTTGTGTCCTTGCCTGATTTTGCTATCAGAGCAATGCCTGCCCCATAGAAGGACCTTGGCAGTATTTCCTCCTCTTCAGTTTTTTGGAAGAGTTTGAGAAGAATTAGAATTTGTTATTTAAATGTTTGATAGAAGTAAAGTCAACATGTCCTGGGCTTTTCTTTAATAGGAGACCTTTTATACTAGTTCAATCCGCCACTTGTTACTGATCTGTTCACATTTTCTATAGCTTCATGATTCAGTATTGGTAGGTTGTATGTGTCCAGAAATGTTTCCCTTTTGTCTGGGTTACCAAATTTGTTGGCATAGCATTGTTCCTAATAGTTTCTTCTGATTTTTATATTCCTCTGGTATCAGTTGTAATGTCTCCTATTTTATCTCTGATTTTATTTATTTGGGTCATTTCTCATTTTTTCTTAGTCTGGCTAAAAGTTTGTTGATTTTGCTTATCTTTTCAAAAAATCTAATTTTGAATGAGATCCTGGAACAGAAAATGAAGGTTAGTAGAAAAACTAGTGAAATTAGAATGAAGAGTAGAATTTATTTAATAATAATACACCAATACTGGTTTCTTAGTTATAATAAACACACTATTGTAACATGAGCTTTTAACAATAAAGGGAAACTAGATGAGTGATATATGGGAACTCTGTATTATCATTACAACTCTTTTGTAAATGTCAGTCTATTCACTGGAACTTTTCTGTAAATCTAAACCTATTATAAAATTAAAACTGGATTAAAAATAAATATAATAAGTAAATAAGACTGATCTGTTTATCATTGCTGGTGAGACTTCATTGAGTTGATAAGCATCAACTCAGTGCTCAAATTCAATCTAACAGTGGTTTCTTAATCCTAGATAACTTCTAAAGTTTTTATTTAAGCATAAAGTATATTCAGAAGGTAACACAAAAGATGAGTGTACACACCCTTGTATTCACCATTCAGATAAAAAAAAAAAATTACCAGTACTCAGAAACCTCCCAGATTCTCTCTTAAATCTCTTCCTCTTACTCCTGCCCAAAGGTAACCATTGTCCTGAATTCTAACACCAGAGATTAATTTTCCTGAGTTTCGACCGTTAGGTAGATGGGATCATACATTACACACTCTTCTGAGTCTGGCTTCTTTCTCACAACATTAATTTTGTAAGGGTTATTCATGTTGTCAAGTGTAGTGATAGTTTCTTGAGTTTCTATTATATAAATATGCCATAATTTATTTGTCTGTTCTACTCTTGATAAACATTGAGCTGTTTTTAGTTTTGATTATTGTAAGCAATGCTGCTATTAACATTCTTGTTCTTATCTTTTGGGTGCATACCTGTTGCATTTCCCTCCATACATTTTCATCTCTTCAATGTTTAAGAGATGTGGAATTTGGTGCTATTATTTATTTAGTTTTT